CCCCCCCCTCTCCTCCCCCCCTCACCATCCCCTTCACCTCCTTGCTGGCATGGCAGCTAGCAGGCGTGCTGGTGTTCTCAGCCGTGCCCTTTGTGGCCGTGAAGGCACTCGCCAACAGCGGGCTGGGCGGTCAACTCAGTCAACGCCTGCAGCAGCGCCTGCCCGAGCTGCGACGGGCGGCTGAGAGGGTGGAGGCGCAACGGGAGGAGGCACGGGAGCAGAGGTGGGTCAGGGGCATCAGGAGTGGTGGGTCGGCCGTGTAGAGCAGTGGAGGGCATTGGGGGGCAGTGGGGGGCAGAGAGGGACAGAGGGGGGCAGAGTGGCAGTGTCATGGTGGCAAACATGGCCATGAACCCACTCTCCTTCACACCCATTCATCTCATCAGCTCTCTTCACTCACACGACACCCTTCTTGCACACTATTTGCCTAAGGACCTCCTCCCCCCCATCTTCCCGTCTTCCCTTGCCCTCTTCCTCTCCCCTGTTTTCCTCCTCCCCTTCCCCCCAAATATCTCCCCCTCCCCCTCCCACTGCACTCAGCCCGTGGCACGGCACATCTCGGCCGCGCTGGCTGGACCCGTGCCAGTCACCGGGGCGTACCCATCGTAGCTGGGCGGCCAAGTGGCGGGTGACGTTGCCTTCCACCTCGCCCCCTTCCTCCCCTCTCCCTCCCTCAACCCCCCCTCACCCCATGCTACAGCCCTGCACGCCCGCGCTGCCTGGACCCCCTGCCAGTGGCCGGGGCGTACCCGCCATATCTGGACGGCCGTGTGGCGGGCGACTTTGCCACTTCCCACCCCTCTCCACCCCCCCTCTTCCCTCTCTCCCAGTCCATGGTACGGTGCATCTAGACCGCGCTGGCTGGACCCCCTGCCCTATGCCTACCCGCCCTACCTGGACGGCCGTGTGGCGGGTGACTTTGCATTCGACCCTGCCGGCCTTGCTCGCGACCCCACTGCCTTCCAGCGCTACTACAAGTGCGTGCGGAGGAAAAGAAGGGGGGAGCGGGAGGGAGGGGGGAGTGTGGGGTGGGGTTGTGCACCCGAGGCATGGGTGAGTGAAAGGGGTGGACCCCCCTGCCTTCCCACCTTCTGCACGTGCGTGCGGAGGGAAAGGGGAGGGGATTGCTGGTGGGGTGCGCGAGTGAGTGAAGTGAATGCGTGGGCCAGGCTCGCCGCGGTGGCTATGCTTGTTGCCCTGCGTGCGCGGTGGTGCCACAGGGCATGCTACCTCTCCCACCTGCGCCAAAACCGATGGTCCCCTCTGCTGCGCGCGCCTTTCCTTCTCCTTCTCCCCTCCCTTACCCGCCAAGCGTGCGTAATTGGCGTTTTTTCAGGCCAGTGTGGTCAATCCCTGTGAGAACCTTCTTTTTTTGTTTTTATCTTACTGTTGTCAAGTCTCAGAACTATCTAACAAAGGCATCAATTCAATCATTTGTGTAATGACTAATGGCGGCCATGTGAAGACATGGCAGCAGCCACAATGGTACTCATTCATTCATCGAGGCAAATGGCACACGGTGTGGTGGCTTGTGGGCAAATCAGACGCAGCAACGCCGTGTCCACAACTTCTTCCCCCCCTGTCAACTGCGCCCTTCCCCCTTCCCTGTCACCCCCCTCCCCCAACCCTTTCAATTCAACCCCCCTTCACCCCTCTGTCATCCCCACTCCTGACTCCCCTTCCCCGTCGCCCTGTCATCCCCCTCCCCCTGTGTTTCCCCTGCCCGCGCCTTGCCACTCCCCCGTGCGCCCGTTCACCCCAGAGATGATGCACGCCCGCCGGGCCATGGGGCGCAGGAGCAAAGCACATGCATCAAAGTTGTGTCAACACCTCCCATCCTCCCGCTCACCCCAGTCTGGAGATCGTTCACGCGCGGTAGGCCATGCTAGGAGCGCTGGGAGTGGTGGTGCCGGAGGCGCTGCAGCGCTACAGTGACACGACCTTCCTGGAGGCGGTGTGGTGGCGCGTGGGCGCCGCCAAGCTGGCGGGCGACGACCTGGACTATCTGGGCGTGCCGGGGCTGCACGTGGCAGGGGGACAGGGGGTCGTTGTTATAGCCATCGCACAATTCCTGCTCATGGTGAGTGCCACTGCGTACCCTCACTACTGCCACTGCCGCTCCTGGACGTTCTGGACTATCTGGCCGTGCCGGGGCTGCACCTGGCAGGGGGACAGGGCGTGGTTGTGATCGCCGTTGCACATTACCTTCTCATGGTAAGTGCTGCTGAGTATGCACATGGCGTTGATACAGCCAGTGCCGCTGCTGAAGCTAACGGGAGACGGCCTGGACTACCTGGGGGGCTCCACCTTGTGGGCGGGCAGGGGGTGGTTCTCATTGCTGTCGCCCAGTTCCTCCTTATGGTACTTGCCTGCGCAGCACATGCCCGTGCTACAGCCGGTGCCCCACCTGGAGCTGCAGGGCGGGCCCCACTGCACCTCGTGGGCGGGCAGGGCGTGGTTGTGAGCGCCATTGCGCAGTTGCTGCTCATGGTGAGCACACATATGGCACATCCACCCCCTGCTGCTACTGAAGCTGCATTGCATATGGGAGGCGGGGGAGGTGAGGTGGATAGGAGCAGCACTGGGTGGAGCGGGACGTGCTGGGTCCCCACAAGGCGACACTTTGATCTTTTGTCGCACCCGACTCCACACTTGATGAGCCCACTCGAGGTCATGGCAGACTGGAGTGCACTCGATTCACTCGCTCACTGCCACATATCTTGCTGCCTCATACTGCCTGGCGTCGCCACGATGACCTGTCATGTGAAGGCTTTGTCATCAACCACTCAGTCACGCATTTCCATTCCCGTTCCTTGTTCCTTCTCTTCATTCTCTCTCTCCGCACCTCACAGACTTCCCATCTCGTACCCCCTTTTTTATCCCCCCTCTCCCCCTCTCCGAACCTCTTTTTCCATGCATGTCTCCCTCCTATTCCCATCGTGCATCTTCCCATCCCCCAGCTGGGCCCAGAGTGTGCATGGCGCATAGGCACAGCACGTGGGCACATAGCATCAGGGCGCTGGAATCGATGGGCTCGTTTTTGCTCCCTAACCACACTGTCCCCATTTAGCATCCCTCCCATTTCCCTCCCCACGTCCCACCCTCAGCTGGGCCCAGAGTACGCGCGCTACACGGGCATAGCAGCATTGGAGCCGCTGGGGGTGTTCCTGCCGGGCGACATCAACCACCCGGGGGGGTGGCTCTTCGACCCGCTGGGGCTGGCCAACGATGCAGAGCGGTTTGAAGACTTGAAGGTGGGTGCAGGGCGCTGGTGTGCAGGGGAGGGTGCGTGCAGGGGGCGCTGGCCGTGTTTCTGCGGGGAAACATCAACCAAAGGAGGGTTGGCTCTTTGACTTCCTGGGGCTGACCAATGACGCCCAGTGTGTTGACGACCTGAGGGTGCGAGCAGGGGCGCCTGGTGTTCACGGGGCGTTGAACGCGTGCATGGGACAAGGTCTGTGCAGGGGTGGTGGGTATACCAGGTGTCCATGGGTGCTGCTGTGTGCATGGCTGCTGTGTCAAGCACAGAGTGCACGTGTCAAGGCACCAACCACAGAGGGCAGCTCTGGAAGAGGGCACCAATCACAGAGGGCAGCTCTGGAAGAGGGCACCAATCACAGAGGGCAGCTCTGGAAGAGGGCACTAAACACAAGACACATGCCCACGCATCCCACTGACCGCTCGCTGCCTTGGCTGCTCTCCTCTCTCTCGTTGCTCTTCCCTTTCAGGTGCGGGAGATCAAGAACGGGCGGGTGGCAATGATGGCGTGGGTGGGCTTTGCGGCCCAGGCGGCGGTGACCGGGCAGGGCGTGTTGGACGACTGGGAGGCCTTCCTCGCCCACCCCCTCCACAGCAACGCCCTCGCCTTCGCCCTGCATTCTTCACACTAGCCCTGTCTCCGCCCTCACTAGCACCGCCTCCTCTCTGCTGCACGCTGCTCAAGTGGTGCTGCCTGCCAGATGAGGTGTGCGCCACACACATGGCATGCCCGAAGTACGCGTCTCATTGTCCTAGAGGCTCTTCAACCAAATGCCCGAGTGAATACACAAGGCAGATGTCGACGCCACAATCTGTAGAGGGAATTGGTGAAGCAATCGATACGAGAGACTCAATCCCTGAATGTAACTCCCCCAGAAGCATTTACGAGGTGGCTCTGTATAATGTACAAAGAACTAAATGTGCTTTTAATTGTATATTCTATATATGGAACATATACTGCCTAAATTTATTAATTTCTGTTCCAAGCTGTTTTTATGGGAGCAGTTGCGGTGTTTATGTATCTGCCACGTAGCAGGCAAGTCTGTCATTTGTTATTCACAAAAGATACATGCCGTAACAAGTGTTCTGCGGTTAACGGATCATGGATCCGTCCCTCCTTTCGTGTGTGCGGTGCAGCACGGTTCCTTCCAATCCGCGACAGCCCGGCCCTTGAGGGAAAGAGCCTGCTTGGTGGGTTGGAACGGTCGCCTCCCTGCTGCCGTCATGCACTTCTGGAGCCTTCCGCGCCTGATTGGTCTCGCGTGCGTCGCGCCATCGCCATCACTCGCGCTCCTCCACTCGCACCGACCCTCCTCGCCTCGCTGCTCGCCCTCCACCCTGGAGCGCCGTGTTCGCCGCGTGAGCTGGGCCACCTTAGCCGACCACCCCCGCCGCCATTCCGCCATGCGGCGTAAGCGGCATGCGCGTCCTCCCCCCAGCATACCCCCACATGCTCCTCCCCGCTGCTCGTCCCAACTGCTCCCGTGTGCCTGTTGCTGCGTGTGTCTGTCTGCTGACGCGAACAGTCGCGGGAGCCTCTGGTGGGATGGAGTGAACGTGGCAAGTCAACGCCTTCCCCCCTTGCGGGTCGAGCGATTGCAGGAGCAGCCCTGCTGCCACCAGCTTACAGGGACTGTACACGCCCTGTGCCTCGCGGCGCGCTCGTTACCACCGCGTGTTTAAAAGCGCGCGTGCTCCTGGCTCACCATGGACCCCACATGCCTTCCATTCTCGCGCCACCCATGGCGACTGCACGAACCCGATCGCTCCGAATCGTCGCCATCGCCGTCGCTCTCGTCGCAGCTGTCGCCGCTGCCGTCGCAAACCCCTCTGACGAGCCCCAGGCGTTCGACGCGCCACTGCCGGGAAGGGCGGCGCTGGAAAAGGCGGCGGGTGCGCAGATCAGCGGCGGAGCGCTTCCAGTCTTCGGCGGAGGAAACTGGCTTCCGCGTCCGCGCGGTGGCGGAAAGGGCGGAAAGGGGGGAAATGGCGGGAGTGGCGGGCGCATGCGGGCGACGTGGGGAGTGCCTCTGCGGCTGCGCGCGGCATGGGGGAGCGCTAAGTTCCGCGTGAAGGCACGGGACGCGCTGGGGCGGCTGACGGGCGCGCGCGGGGTGGCGGTGACGGCGCAGGGGCGCGCGGAGCAGCTGATGGCGGCATGGGCGGGACGGCGAGGGAGGGAGGGATGGCGGAAGGGCAAGGACGTGTGGACGCAAGTTGCGCGCGACTGCGTCTCTCAGGTGCTCCGTTATAACGTGCTGCGTTATGAGATGATGCGTTATTGTGTGCTGCGTTATTAGGAGCTGCATTACAGACGCCACATTAGGATGCTTGCGCACAATAAGCACTGGGCATCTCTCAACCGCCCATATCTCCTCTGCACTGCATTGCATGCCCTCCAATCCAATCCCGTGCTGCCAGTTGGCACTCGCCAAGGCGAGCATGGATGAAGCAGCGGTGATCATCAACACGGGCGAGGGTGACGTGGCAGATGCGCGCATCAGCCTATCAAGTGCTGCCACGTTGGCGGGCGACTGTCTGGACTCCTTCCGCACCTTCGCTGCTGATGGCGCCACCAGCGAACCCGCCCGGGCCGTGCAGGTGGGCTGTGGCGTGGATTGCATTGCATGTGCATGAGGGGGGAGATGGTGGGGGGAGGCTTGTAGGGGTGGGTGTGCGGAGGGGGGGTTGGTGGTGCGTGCATGCAGTGTGCTGTGTTCACGCCAGCCGCCACTACCGTGCAGGGCTTTGGATGCAATGGTGGGGTAGGAGGCAGTGGTGGTGATGCAGTGCGGTCATTCCAAGTTCCAACTCATGCCTCTTGCTGCCACCCAACCATCATCCCTTACTGCTCTCTCTCTCCCCACGCTCTAAGCACCTCAGTTCATTCGTGCTATTCCTCCACTATGGAACTCGTCACTTGCTCGCTTCAACTCACCACCAACCATCCCTCCCTCCCCATCCCTTGCCCTCTCTACCCCATGCTCTGCGCCATTCTCGGTCCCATGCATGACGGCGAGCAGCAAGCAGCGGGGCAGTTGAGGGAGGCGCTGATGGCGCTGCAGCAGCAGGCGGCCGACATGGCCACCATCGTTGCCGCCTCCTCGCCCCCCCCGCTCTCCTCGCCACTATTCTCCCCCGGCCCCGCTGCCAGCCCTGCAAGCGACAGCAGCCCTCCAGCTGACAACAGCAGTGGCGCTGATGCTGCCGATGGTGCTGCAAGCGACGGCAGTGGCAGTGGTGCTGATGGCGCTGGCACTGGTGGTGCCGCTGATAGTGGTGGTGATGGCAGCGATGGCAGTGCCGGTGGTGATGGTGACACTGCTGCTGGTATCAGTGGGTTCACGATTGCACAAGTTGCCACAGCCAGCACCACAGCACCGTCGCGCTCACCCGTCAAGTCAAGGAAACACCCTGCTCGCAACGCCACCCGCCCCTCCGCCTCTGTTGCAGAAGTCAACTCCACCGCCCCTGCTCCCCCTGGCCCTCCGCCCTCCCCCCTTTCCAGCCCCACGCCTCCCCCCACTCCCTTCTCTTCCCTCCCCCTGTCACCATCGCCTCCCTCCTCGCCCTCCTCGCCCTCCTCTCCCACTCCTCCGTTTCCTCCTCCTTCCCCTCCTCCATCTCTCCCTCCCTTCCCTCCTCCCTCCCCTCCCCCCTTCTCTTCAGTGCCTCCCTCCCCACCTCCCTCCCTGTCCCCCTCCTCGCCCTTCCCCTCCCCGCCTCCCTTCTCGCCCTGGCCCGCCACACCTGCTGCTCCATCGCTGCTCCCCCTCCCGCTGCTGCCCTCTCCTCCCCCATCCATCCCCGCGTGCTGCACCTGCACATGCGCCTGTGCCCCCGTCCTGCCCCCCGCCTCCCCTCTGACTTCTCCCCCCCCTCCTCTCTCCACATTGCCCCCCCTCCCTCCTCCTTCTCCTTTCCCTCCACCTCAGCCTCCTCCGCCCCTCAATTCCCCTCCACCTTCTCCCCCTATCCCGCCCCCTTCCCCTCCTCCCCCGCCCCCTTCCCCTCCCTCCCCGCCCCCTTTCCCTCCTTCCCCTCCCCCTTCCCCTCCTTCCCCACCCCCCCCCCCCACCTTCCCCTCCACCCTCCCCTCCTTCCCCACCTTCCTCCCCTCCTCCCCGCCCCCCCACTCCTCCTTCCCCTCCCCCCTCCCCTGCCTCTCCCCCCCCTTCCCCTCCTCCTCGCCCCCCTTCCCCTCCCCCCCGTCCCCCTTCCCCCCCTCCGCGTCCCCCTCCTCCTTCCCCTCCCCCTTCCCCTCCCCCACGGCCCCCCCCTCAACCTCCTCGCCCCCCTTCCCCTCCTCCCTCTCCTCCGTCCCCCCCTCCGCGTCCCCCTCCTCCCCCTTCCCCACCCCCCTCCCCTCCGCCCTCCCCACCCTCACCGCCCCCCTCTCCGCCCTCCCCACCCCCCTCACCGCCCTCCCCGCCCCCATCCCCGCCCGCACCACCGTCCCCGCCCCCCGCGCCCCCCTCACTGGCGTACCCCATGCCGCTGCGCTACGCACTGCCGCCGCCCAACGCCATCGTGGCCAGGGATGGCTCGGGCACCTTCACCTCCATCCAGGTGCGTGTGTGTGCTCGTGCGTGCTTGCGGGGGTGCCTGCTGCACTGCACGCGGGTGGGGCGGCTGGGGGCTGCCCGTCACACTAGTGCTTCACTCCCCACACCAAACTAACTTGCACCTCATTTCGCCTCCTGCCTCATCGCCCTCAGTCCACGTCCTTCCCCTCCTTTATGCCCCCAACCATGGATCAACCCCAACCATGCATCAACCCCAACCATGCATCAACCCCAACCATGCATCAACCCCAACCATGCATCAACCCCAACCAGGCGGCAGTGGACGCAGCGCCATCCACCCCCAGGGGGCGCTTCATAGTGTTTGTGGCGCCAGGCGTGTACACGGAGACGGTGCGAGTGACAAGGAGGAACGTGACACTGGTGGGGGCGGCACCCGAGGCAACGGTGATCACGGGCAGCGCCAGCGTGGTGGGCGGCTCCACCACCTTCAACAGCGCCACCGTTGGTCAGTCCCACTTGCACGCGCCTGATGGGGGGGGGAAGTGGGGAATGTATGGAAAGTGGGCCATGGGGCACGGGGGATCACCACGGGCATGCATGGTGTATGTGTGGTGGGTGGGACACATGAGTGCACCCCACGTGTGTGCTATCCATCCCTCATCTCGTCCTCCCTCTCCCGCCACCACATGGCAGCCATCACGGGATCGGGCTTCCTGGCGGTGGGGGTGCGCTTTGAGAACACGGCGGGGGCGGCCAACCACCAGGCCGTGGCGCTGAGGGTCACGGCGGACAACTGCGCCTTCTTCGACTGCCACTTCATCGCCTGGCAGGTGCGACCCCTCCAATCCATCCCACTCACTGCTCCCCGTCTCCCTTTCTTCTCCCTCACCGCCCCCTGCTGACCAATGGTCACATGCTGGCTGCCACTCTCCGGCAATTGCAGTTTCTCTCCAAAGCATACATTCCGGCATCCCCTCTGCCCCAGTCCCCATCGGCCCCTCTCTCTCCCCCTCCCCCCCCCCCCCTTCTCCGTCCCCTTCGTCCACCCCCTATACAGGACACGCTGTACACACACAGCGGGCGGCAGTACTACCGCAACTGTGTGGTGAACGGGTCGGTGGACTTCGTCTTTGGCAACGGTGCCGCCGTGCTCGACAACTGCACGCTGCAGATCCGCCCGCAGCCCAACGCTGTGGTAACCGCGTCGGGGCGCACCAACTCCACGGAGCCCACGGGCATCGTGATCGTCAACTCCCGCGTGGAGGGTGATGTGGCACAGGCGCAGTTCCTGGGGCGGCCGTGGAGGCCGTTTGCACGCGTGCTGTACAGCAACAGTGTCATTGGCTCCTCTGTGAGTGTGCCACACTGCTAGCATCCCCAACCCGTGGTTGTTTGGACCTTGTGTTTGCATGACATGTCTGTTGCATTGCAGATCAACTCCAATGGCTGGATGGACTGGGGAGGCACCGTGTATGACACTACAACGTTTGTCGAGTTCAACAACACTGGGCCCGGCTCGGTGGGATCACGCATTGCTTGGGCAAAGCCAGGAATTGTGAACGATCCATCACTTGTGGCTCAATATTCTCCGGACGTGTTCCTTTACCCTTTCGCTCCAATACTTGGGCTCATTCCTTGGATATGATTGCCATAAAGTGTTTGTTGTGCATGGTTAGATGTGCCTATTTTATTATTTTGTGTAGTCTTATGTAGGAAATATATTTATTAGTTCATGTAGTCTTATTATGTAGGAAACAACCTGTATATAGTCTGCATTTTGTTGTAACATACCTGAGGAATATTTTGATTCCCTCCAAGTTGGACCATTGTTCAGACTCGGACCGTGTCGCACGAGGAAAGGGAGCCAATTCGGCGTCGATTGGTCAGCAGCACCTACCAGAATGTGATTGTGTGGTTGGCAGCAAAGCAAGGCCCTCTTCAGTTCAATCCCCTAGAATCCTTCCACTTCCAACCAAACCGAACCCAGCAACTAGGAAATTCGTCTGGACAGAAATTCGTCAGAACGGGACGGAACGGGTTACGGGACCCGGCGATGCCGACTGCGTGGCGCGGAGGATTCAAGGGAAGATTGGTGTGATCTGAGGGCACGTCTGATGGCATGGTTGGATGGAAATGGTTTGGGTTGGGAGTGGTTGGTATGGTACAGATAAATTGCACAGAATATCACCGCATTCCATCCCACCCAATCTCAACGAATCACTGCCAGGGCATCTCACCGTCATGGATATGATGCGAATATCCCCACCCACCCACACGGACGTCATCTCGCTCCGCGCGTTGCCCACGCCCTCTCACTCACCACCAACCCAGCACTCACCGCCCACCGACCACCCCTGACAGCAGTGTGGGACTTCGCGCACTCGACCAAGGAAGCGGCCGGGACGAACTCCCTGATAAGAACCAAAACAGTCACGCTGAAACTTCCTTTTTTTTTCGTGGTGGCCATTTTCCAAGCTTACTAGGGAACTAAGATTGATTCTTCCATCAATAGCAATTCGACGCTTTGCTTGGAAGACGTTTACACGTGGCCACACTCGGACAGGCCGGGCAACCGCAGCGCTGATCCAGTCTGATCAGTGATCCGCAATGCCTAGGTTATGCTTATAACGCTAGGCAGGAAACGTTCAGTCAGGACGAACCCGAGCCGAAACGAGGAACGATCAGCAGGTTTACCGATACGCTCGGATTCGAGTGGATTTCAGCGCGGCTTGAAAGCGGCATCGCCATGGTTGTCATCCATGAGTAGTACGCGGTTTAAATAGTCAACCGTTTGCGTATTGGTTTTCTAAGTAGTAAGCCGTTTGAGTGGTGAATGTTTCGATATGTGAGCACTGGGTTATTGAGTAGCCATCCGTTTTGGCGAATATCTTGCAGAATCTCTTAACGAAATTCAATCTCTACTATCCAATGTTACTGATAGAAAAGGAGGCCGTCAGTCTGCATACGCGGTCCTTCGAAGCTGGTTTAGATCGGTCATTTGCATAGTCAAGGATCGGATTTTCGCCTTGTCAAACAATGTCACTCACCCATCCCTCGTGTCTGCGTCCCCTCCCTCTCGTATCGCCGTGCTGCAGTCAAATTCCGTTGCCGCTGTCCGCAGAGGAGGTGAGCGTCGACTTGGGGTGAGCGTTGACTTGGGGTGAGCGTTGACTTCGGGTGAGCGTTGACTTGGGGTGAGCGTTGACTTGGGGTGAGCGTTGACTTGGGGTGAGCGTTGACTTGGGGTGTGCGTTTGACTTGGGGTGTGCGTTTGACTTGGGGTGTGCGTTTGACTTGGGGTGTGCGTTGACTTGGGTTGAGCGTTGACTCGAGGTGAGCACTTTCCCTGATTCGAGAATCTTGCCGGGCGACAGTCCTCGGGTGGCGGTGAGAGCGTGTGGTCAGCAGCGTGAGTGCCATGCCACCATGGGCCCCCTCCATCGCCGTGAGTCACTCTAACACGCGTGCCAATCGCAGCAGCCGGGTTCGACTGTGCGCGGCTCAGCGGCCACTGCGTCGCCGTGCATCCGCCGTGGGCCCCGTCGAAACAGCTCCCGCCACCCACACGCTCCTTGCACCTCTCCCGACCCCCATGCCCTTCCGCACCCCCCTCCCCATCCCTTTCTCAACCAACCACCCGCCTCCCTTCCCTCCCCTCCCCACCCCCCCACACCCCGACCCCACCCTCCACGTCCGTCACCGCCTCTGAACGCCCCGCTGCCTGCCACCTGTCCCCACCTCCCAGTGCCTCTCCGCCCTCTCTGCGCGCTTCGAATCACCACCCTTGCAGTCCGCCCCCTCGTCGCGTCCGCGTCGCACTTGAGCAATCCCCGTTGGCCCGCTTGCCGTTCCCCGTGCTGCCCCCACCCCACGGCAGTGCAGCGCTGTTTCTCCCACTCACCTGACCCTCTCCTCCCCATTCTTCTGTTCCCGCCTTGCTGCCGCTCTCACCCTGCAATTACTGGAGCAACGCCACCACCACAACCATCAATACTACCATCACCATCACTGTCACCATCGCTGCCACTCACTCTCACCTCCTTTTCTACCACCGTCATAGCCCTGCGCGTCATCATTGCTGTTCCCAGGGAACATTCTTGTGAATTGCTCAACATTTTTGCTATACCACCGTCTCCCCTGCCTCTTTACCCTTTCTCTTCACATCACGAGTATAACAACGGTACCGCATAGCACAGCAGTACCGCATAGCACATGATCACCAGGTTCACCAAGGTACTCCCTTGCATGACGGCAGCACTGCACGGCGCAGCTGTACATGATCGCTAATCATTCCTCTTATTGCACACCCCCCTTCCCCACCCCCACCATCGCCTTTCCCCACCCACCGCTCGCCCCCATCCCCACACACCCTTCTCAACCCACCAGTACCGCATAGCGCAGCTGTTCATGATCGCGCGGTTCAGCGAGCACCACTCGTCGGACAACAGCGACGGCGACGGCGTGGAGGTGCTCACCAACGAGCCCTTCCAGGAGGACGGGCGCCAGGGGCAGTACACGCACAAGATCTACCACCTCGCCAAGTGAGTGGGCAGTATACGTTCCGTTGTGTGTGCAGCAGCATGGCGGGTGGGGTGGAGCAGTCGGTAGGACGCTCATGCCGGGGGGGAGGAGGAGGGAGGCCACTTGTGAGCCCAGCCGTGGTGGGGAGGAGAGGAGCAGCATGGGGGAGCTGGTAGGAAGGCCGCCTTGCCACGTGGCCATCCTTGTGTGCACGTGGAGTCGTGTGTGCCTCACCATCCCCTCTCCCACCAAGGCCAGCCGAGTGGACAGCCTTCTAGCATCCGTGCAAGGCGCTGGAGCAGTCAACAATATTAGAGGAGCAAAACGAAGAGTGCCGCCCAGCAGCCATGCTACAGCCGTCACGCTCTCCAGGGACAACTCTCTCCACCGCTCTCTCCTGCTCTCCCACTCACACACACACACACACTCACTGACACGCATTCTCACATTCGCACTCACACTCGCACTCACTCTACACCCACACTCACAGCCAGCCCTCATGCACTCCCCTCCCCTGTCCAACGAGTGCAGGAAGGTGCCTCAGCTGGTGCTGGCGATTCTGCCCAAGAAGGCGTTGCAGCTGGAGGAGAAGTCGTGGAACTGCTACCCTCACTGCGTCACAGGTGAGTCGTCAAAGCGTGACAAGTCAGTCGGCAGTGAGTGACAGGTTAGGTTACTACGCATCTCCATGCCGCACACGCCTTCTCCTGAAGCCCTGCCTTTGCTCCACACTGTGCCCTTCACCAATTTCCCTCGGTTCATGCATAGCCCTATTCACGCTGTTGGCTGCCGCCCCCTCATGCTTATCCTCCTCCCTTTTCCCGTGTCATGTCCCTTATTCCAAACCATGCATGGCATGGACACTGGTCTGCGTGCACGCGGCGCACATCAGAGCTGACTGTGAGTCGCCCATTCCCTTCACCACTGGTTGCACTTGCCATCTGCGTCCGCGTGCCCCTCTCCCTCACCTGCCCATTCTCTCTCGTGCCTCTTCGTCTCTTGGCGTCCACCTGTGCCATCCATCCGCGCCATTGCTGCGGCTTCTCATCATGGACGGCCTCTCATCATGGACGGCCTCTCATCATGGACTGCCTCTCATCATGGACTGCCTCTCATCATGGACTGCCTCTCATCATGGACTGCCTCTCATCATGGACTGCCTCTCATCATGGACTGCCTCTCATCATGGACTGCCTCTCATCATGGACTGCCTCTCATCATGGACTGCCTCTCATCATGGACTGCCTCTCATCATGGACTGCCTCTCATCATGGACTGCCTCTCATCATGGACTGCCTCTCATCATGGATTGCCTCTCATCATGGACTGCCTCTCATCATGGACTGCCTCTCATCATGGACTGCCTCTCATCATGGACCGCCTCTCATCATGGACTGCCTCTCATCATGGACTGCCTCTCATCATGGACTGCCTCTCATCATGGACTGCCTCTCATCATGGACTGCCTCTCATCATGGACTGCCTCTCATCATGGACTGCCTCTCATCATGGACTGCCTCTCATCATGGACTGCCTCTCATCATGGACTGCCTCTCATCATGGACTGCCTCTCATCATGGACTGCCTCTCATCATGGACTGCCTCTCATCATGGACTGCCTCTCATCATGGACTGCCTCTCATCATGGACTGCCTCTCATCATGGACTGCCTCTCATCATGGACTGCCTCTCATCATGGACTGCCTCTCATCATGGACTGCCTCTCATCATGGACTGCCTCTCATCATGGACTGCCTCTCATCATGGACTGCCTCTCATCATGGACTGCCTCTCATCATGGACTGCCTCTCATCATGGACTGCCTCTCATCATGGACTGCCTCTCATCATGGACTGCCTCTCATCATGGACTGCCTCTCATCATGGACTGCCTCTCATCATGGACTGCCTCTCATCATGGACTGCCTCTCATCATGGACTGCCTCTCATCATGGACTGCCTCTCATCATGGACTGCCTCTCATCATGGACTGCCTCTCATCATGGACTGCCTCTCATCATGGACTGCCTCTCATCATGGACTGCCTCTCATCATGGACTGCCTCTCATCATGGACTGCCTCTCATCATGGACTGCCTCTCATCATGGACTGCCTCTCATCATGGACTGCCTCTCATCATGGACTGCCTCTCATCATGGACTGCCTCTCATCATGGACTGCCTCTCATCATGGACTGCCTCTCATCATGGACTGCCTCTCATCATGGACTGCCTCTCATCATGGACTGCCTCTCATCATGGACTGCCTCTCATCATGGACTGCCTCTCATCATGGACTGCCTCTCATCATGGACTGCCTCTCATCATGGACTGCCTCTCATCATGGACTGCCTCTCATCATGGACTGCCTCTCATCATGGACTGCCTCTCATCATGGACTGCCTCTCATCATGGACTGCCTCTCATCATGGACTGCCTCTCATCATGGACTGCCTCTCATCATGGACTGCCTCTCATCATGGACTGCCTCTCATCATGGACTGCCTCTCATCATGGACTGCCTCTCATCATGGACTGCCTCTCATCATGGACTGCCTCTCATCATGGACTGCCTCTCATCATGGACTGCCTCTCATCATGGATTGCCTCTCATCATGGACTGCCTCTCATCATGGACTGCCTCTCATCATGGACTGCCTCTCATCATGGACCGCCTCTCATCATGGACTGCCTCTCATCATGGACTGCCTCTCATCATGGACTGCCTCTCATCATGGACTGCCTCTCATCATGGACTGCCTCTCATCATGGACTGCCTCTCATCATGGACTGCCTCTCATCATGGACCGCCTCTCATCATGGACTGCCTCTCATCATGGACTGCCTCTCATCATGGACTGCCTCTCATCATGGACTGCCTCTCATCATGGACTGCCTCTCATCATGGACTGCCTCTCATCATGGACTGCCTCTCATCATGGACTGCCTCTCATCATGGACTGCCTCTCATCATGGACTGCCTCTCATCATGGACTGCCTCTCATCATGGACTGCCTCTCATCATGGACTGCCTCTCATCATGGACTGCCTCTCATCATGGACTGCCTCTCATCATGGACTGCCTCTCATCATGGACCGCCTCTCATCATGGACTGCCTCTCATCATGGACTGCCTCTCATCATGGACTGCCTCTCATCATGGACTGCCTCTCATCATGGACTGCCTCTCATCATGGACTGCCTCTCATCATGGACTGCCTCTCATCATGGACTGCCTCTCATCATGGACTGCCTCTCATCATGGACTGCCTCTCATCATGGACTGCCTCTCATCATGGACTGCCTCTCATCATGGACTGCCTCTCATCATGGACTGCCTCTCATCATGGACTGCCTCTCATCATGGACTGCCTCTCATCATGGACTGCCTCTCATCATGGACTGCCTCTCATCATGGACTGCCTCTCATCATGGACTGCCTCTCATCATGGACTGCCTCTCATCATGGACTGCCTCTCATCATGGACTGCCTCTCATCATGGACTGCCTCTCATCATGGACTGCCTCTCATCATGGACTGCCTCTCATCATGGACTGCCTCTCATCATGGACTGCCTCTCATCATGGACTGCCTCTCATCATGGACTGCCTCTCATCATGGACTGCCTCTCATCATGGACTGCCTCTCATCATGGACTGCCTCTCATCATGGACTGCCTCTCATCATGGACTGCCTCTCATCATGGACTGCCTCTCATCATGGACTGCCTCTCATCATGGACTGCCTCTCATCATGGACTGCCTCTCATCATGGACTGCCTCTCATCATGGACTGCCTCTCATCATGGACTGCCTCTCATCATGGACTGCCTCTCATCATGGACTGCCTCTCATCATGGACTGCCTCTCATCATGGACTGCCTCTCATCATGGACTGCCTCTCATCATGGACTGCCTCTCATCATGGACTGCCTCTCATCATGGACTGCCTCTCATCATGGACTGCCTCTCATCATGGACTGCCTCTCATCATGGACTGCCTCTCATCATGGACTGCCTCTCATCATGGACTGCCTCTCATCATGGACTGCCTCTCATCATGGACTGCCTCTCATCATGGACTGCCTCTCATCATGGACTGCCTCTCATCATGGACTGCCTCTCATCATGGACTGCCTCTCATCCTCGCCCTCTACCCACATGCCCCTCCTGCCCTCCCTGCCCATCAATGGCAGAACCCCTACTTCACCAAGTTCAAGCTGCGCGTGGAGTCCGCCTACCTCAACCACCGCACACCGCAACACAACGTACTCTTCTCCGCCCTGCCTGCTCTGCTCTTCTCTGCTCTGATCTGCTCCGCACCTGCACTCGGGGCATGTTCCTACGCCTCCTATCAGGCGCACCTCTTGTCAGACTTGTGCGATTCAGAGCATTTCAGTGCAATAAATATTGATTACGTGTGGTCCAGTGCGGTGCGACACGCCCTCACTTGCCCCTGTCCTTTCCGTCCCATGACTCTTCCCTCCCTTGCTCGCCGCTCCTCCTGACATCGAATTCCACTGTGTGCTGCTCGTGCTTGCGCCCCCTCTTCCCCCCCACCTGCCAGGCACTAGGAGGTGGAGACTTGTGAGTCGGCTCACACGTGTCCGCTGCTGCTCTCCCCTTGCCCCATTTCCCCCTGCCAGGCATTGGGAGCGAGGGAGGGCGTGGGGCAGAGGAGGAGAGTGGAGGTGCTGGCCGTGCTCACTTGTGAGGCGCCTCAGATTCCCCTCTGTGCTGCTGCTCTCCCCTTACCCCATTTCTCCCTGCCAGGCGCTAGGAGCGAGTGAGGAGGTGCTAGAGAGGAGGAGTGTGGAGGTGTTGGACGTGGCGGGCGAGGCGGTGGAGGCGTATGTGCCCGAGGAGGACCCCGCGCGCTTCACCTCCCTCAAGACCGGCCGCGGCCCCTTCACTCCCGGCTGGCAGGTGTGCTGACTGGCTTGGTGGCAGGTTTGGTAGCTGGTATTTCCACTCCTTTGGCATTCCTCTCCATCCTTCATCCATAGCCTTCCAAAGCGCCTATCCACATGTGCTAAGATGTGATTATGACGCTTCAACGCCGCTCACTGTCACTGCAGCCTCCATGTTTCTCTTTCCCCCATTTAAGTTCATTGTAAGGTGGCACTGCCAGTGCACAATGCAAGATGATTGCCACATGATCACCTTCATTACTGTCACTCTCTGTTGCCTCATTCATTCCACGTGCGGCCCCCAGCAGGAGCGCTGTGACCCATGCATGGTGGCGCGCGCACAGGCTCGTCACAGTGGACCCGCCCTACTGGGGCTCCGGGGTGACTTTGAGTCGACTCACAACTCACCCACTCTCCGTGTCCCCATCACCCCACGTGCTGCGCCCCACCCCCACAGGAGCGGTGCGAGCCGTGCATGGTGGCGTACAAGCTCATCACAGTGGACCTGCCCTACTGGGGCTTTGGCCCTCAGCTCGAGAAATACATCGCCAAAGTACGCCCTCCCCCTCCGCCCTGCCTCTCCGCCCTTCCCCTCCGCCCTCCTCTCCGCCCTCTCCTTCCACACACCCCTACCATCCCTCTCGGTCCTTCCTCAGCCCCTCTCACTGCCCTCAATCCCTCGTCCCTCCATTGTTTCACTCACGTGCCTCCATTTCGTCCTCCATCGCCCCCCTCCCCGCCCTGCCCTTTCGTGTTGGCCTGCTGTGCTGCCATCCCCCACGTGCCAATGCATGTGGACTCCTCCTCGTATCTCGCTTCTCCTCTCTGCACCACACTGCACTCCCTCGAAATTGTCACTTCACCCACCCCAACCCCTTTTTCCACACTCAGTATTTCCCCTCTCTGCCTGACGAGTCGCCCACACTTGGAGCAATCTCTCACAACCTCCTCCTCGCTGCCCTCACCCGTGCGTGTGCGTGGTGGCATGGCAGGTGTTTCAGCGCAAGCTGAACATAGAGGCGAACCGCAAGGCGATCTGCTGGATGGACGAGTGGCACGGCATGAGCATGGAGGACGTCCGACGCATGGAGGCTGAGGCGTTCTCACGCATCAACCAGGTGATTGCAGCACACCCAGGTGACTGCAGCACACCCAGGTGACTGCAGCACACCCAGGTGACTGCAGCACACCCAGGTGATTGCAGCACACCCAGGTGACTGCAGCACACCCAGGTGACTGCAGCACACCCAGGTGACTGCAGCACACCCAGGTGACTGCAGCACACCCAGGTGATTGCAGCACACCCAGGTGACTGCAGCACACCCAGGTGACTGCAGCACACCCAGGTGACTGCAGCACACCCAGGTGACTGCAGCACACCCAGGTGACTGCAGCACACCCAGGTGATTGCAGCACACCCAGGTGACTGCAGCACACCCAGGTGACTGCAGCACACCCAGGTGACTGCAGCACACCCAGGTGACTGCAGCACACCCAGGTGACTGCAGCACACCCAGGTGACTGCAGCACACCCAGGTGACTGCAGCACACCCAGGTGACTGCAGCACACCCAGGTGACTGCAGCACACCCAGGTGACTGCAGCACACCCAGGTGATTGCAGCACACCCAGGTGATTGCAGCACACCCAGGTGATTGCAGCACACCCAGGTGATTGCAGCACAACCAGGTGATTGCAGCACACCCAGGTGATTGCAGCAGCCAGGTGACTGCAGCAGCCAGGTGTAGGCAACGAGGTAATTGTGAGAAGTGGGCTTCATTCAATGTACCTTCACAAGAACTTGCACGTCCTTTGTGCCCAATCTCTTTCCATCCAACCCTCTCGCATGCACCTGTGGCGGCATGCTGGCAGGATCGGCAGCACAAGTACGGAGCGCAGGCGGGGAGTGGGGCACACAAGGGGAGTGCTGCACGCGTGGCGGATGGCACACTGGTGCAGCCCGCTGTTAACGGCGTGTAGCCCCTCGTTGACCGGCTGTCTTCACGGTGCGAGCACCCATGCCTTGCACCCATGCCTTGCACCCATGCCTTGCACCCATGCCTTGCACCCATGCCTTGCACCCATGCCTTGCACCCATGCCTTGCACCCATGCCTTGCACCCATGCCTCGCACCCATGCCTTGCACCCATGCCTCGCACCCATGCCTTGCACCCATGCCTCGCACCCATGCCTTGCACCCATGCCTTGCACCCATGCCTCGCACCCATGCCTCGCACCCATGCCTCGCACCCATGCCTTGCACCCATGCCTTGCACCCATGCCTTGCACCCATGCCTCGCACCCATGCCTTGCACCCATGCCTCGCACCCATGCCTCGCACCCATGCCTCGCACCCATGCCTTGCACCCATGCCTCGCACCCATGCCTTGCACCCATGCCTTGCACCCATGCCTTGCACCCATGCCTTGCACCCATACCTTGCACCCATGCCTCGCACCCATGCCTCGCACCCATGCCTTGCACCCATGCCTTGCACCCATGCCTTGCACCCATGCCTCGCACCCATGCCTTGCACCCATGCCTTGCACCCATGCCTCGCACCCATGCCTTGCACCCATGCCTCGCACCCATGCCTTGCACCCATGCCTCGCACCCATGCCTTGCACCCATGCCTTGCACCCATGCCTTCCACCCATGCCTTGCACCCATGCCTTGCACCCATGCCTTGCACCCATGCCTTGCACCCATGCCTTGCACCCATGCCTTGCACCCATGCCTCGCACCCATGCCTTGCACCCATGCCTCGCACCCATGCCTTGCACCCATGCCTCGCACCCATGCCAACTTACCTATATAATGTTGTTTTCCTTGTCAAGATAATTTGTTGCTTTCACCGTTACTCACTACTGTCCCTGCTCTGCAACGCCCTCCTTGTCTCTGTTCCCTGGAGCAGCTCTCATCTCCATACACACCACACAGTGCACACTCAAGGCCTTCATCGTTAAACGGCAGGTGGTTTTCTAAGACCAAGGCCTTCATTGCCATACACTCGAAACCCTTTACCCTTTGAAAAACGCTATGGGTATATGTTTTCACGGCAAGTGTTTTTAAAACCCCCCTGACCAGGCTATTTTACGTTCCGTTTCTTATTCCATGTACATTACCACTGCTGGAGCAATATATCAGGGCTGACGTAGGCTCGGAAAAAAAGTGCTAGGGTATTTTTTTTCTAAAAAACGAGTGCTTTAGGGCGCGTGTGATCTATTTTCAAGTTCGGAAAAAACGTCGAACTTTGAGTGGTTACCAGCTTCGCCAATGTCGTCATGAAGCTTTGGCGAAGGCATGATAATTTTAGGGGCACATAATGTCAAAGTATATTCATGTTATATATGTGTAGCCCCTATGGGGTACAGCCCCTTTTAGGGTTTCATACTTGTACCCAACTCTTTCATATAGTTCATTCATTCCTGTCTCTAGATTCTAACATGGTATCAGAGCAGTAGGTCCGTAGGACCGTTTTTTTTTCGGGCCCACCTATCGCTACCCCACGACTGTGACTGTGCCTGTGCCTGTGCCTGTGACGTGCTGCGCTGCGCGCGCCGTCTGCCTGCTGCCTGCTGTCTGCTGACTGCGCGGTCTGCTGCTGCTTAGAGCGCACAGACCTCATTCCTGCGCGCGGCCCGGTTTTTTGCCCCGCGCGTCGCCCAAGCTGCCCGAGTCGCGCCTCGGCAGCCCGCGCGCCGCATCCGCAGCCCGCGCTGCTTGCTGCAGCCTCGCGCGTCGCGTCCGCTGCCCGCGCGTCGCGCTGCAGCCCCGCGCGTCGCGTCAGCTGCCCGGCGTCGCGCTGCAGCCCCGCGCGTCGCGTCCGCTGCCCGCGCGTCGCGCTGCAGCCCCGCGCGCCGCGGCTGCCGTCCTCGCGCAGCCCGCTGCGGCTTCGCGCGCCGCGCCCGCAGCTCGCGTAGCCCGCTGCAGCCCCGCGCGCCGCGGCTGCCCCTGTTCGACGCGACCCCCCCCCCCCCCCCCTGGACGCCGCCCCTGCCTGACTGCCGCCGTCGCTTCTGCAGCAGCTGCCGCGGAGCGCCCTGCCACGGTCGCGGCCCCGCCCTGCAGAAGCTGCCGCGGAGCCTCCTGCTGCTGTCGCGGCCCCACCCTGCAGCAGTCCTCGCGGCCCCGCCCTGCAGCAGTCCTCGTGGCCCCGCCCTGCAGCGGTCACGGCCCCGCCCTGCAGCAGCTGTCGCGGACCTGCTCTACCGCCGACGCGGCCCTGCTCTGCCGCAGCTGTCGAGGCCCCGCCGTCGCCGCCGTCGTGCGCCTACCCGGCCGCCTCCCGCCGAGCGCCGGCCCTGCTTGCCCGGCGAGCGCCTGCCCTTCCCGCCACTGGTGAGCACCTACCTTGTTCGCGCGCTGCCGCGTCATCTGCCTGCCTGTCTGCCTGCCTGCCTGCCTGCCTGCCTGCCTGCCTGCCTGCCGCACCTGCCGCACCTGCCCTGCCCGCACTGTTACTGCTGCTAGGCTGCTGCTGCTGCTACTGCTGCTACTTCTGCTACTGCTGCTACTGGCGGTGGCCAGATGCAGCTCCATCGACGTCCACGCGAGTCTCTCCCGCCCCAGCAGCTTCGTGAGTGGTACGCTAGTTGGGGTTGTGGCGGTAGCCGTCGTAGCTGTCGCCCTGGAGCTGGTCAGTTGGGAGCGTCTGGCAGTGGCCAGCTGCAGCTGCAGCGGCGTCCACACGAGACACTTACGTCCCAGCAGCTTCACGAGTGGTACGCTCAGAGTAGAGGGTCTCGGAGTACCGTTCGCTGCCTGTACGTCATTCGCACAGGTGATCGGGTTGGTCAGGCTTGCGGGACGCTTGGTCACACACAGTCCCGCTGCTTCGCCCGTCTGAGCGACGCCTGGCGTACCGAGTTTGGCGACGAGGCTGAGCTCCCCACCTGGCTGGAGCTGCTTGGGCAGAGGGTAGATATCTTTGCTCTTGACTATGATGCTATTCTCACTGCCATGTATGCATTGCCTACTAGTGCTGACCGTGCCTGTTACCTGTGCGTACCGCCTGACCCAGGTATAGAGCCTGCTGCTCTAGGTGTTGGTGAGGCTGCTGCTCTAGGTGCTGGTGAGGCTGCTGCTCTAGGTGCTAGTGCATCTCCTGCTCTAGGTGCTGGTGAGGCTTCTGCTCCAGGTGCTGGTTAGTCTGCTCTCTCTGGTACTGCGATTGCTGAGGCCTTGTACACCTTCACACTTGACTCAGGTGCTTCTCGCTCCTTCTTTCGCGACAGCACCACCCTCACGCCGCTCCGTCGGCCGGTTGCAGTCTCCCTGGCAGACCCCTCTGGGGGTCCAGTCCTTGCGCACTCCTCCACGGTCCTGCCGTGTCCGGCGGTCCCGTCTGGCTCCCTGTTAGGTCTTCACCTCCCCTCGTTCTCTACGAAATTGGTGAGTGGTGCCGACCTCCAGGACCAGTGGGTTGACCAGTTCACTCCTGGAGGTCAGCGCATGACCCACTGTACGTGCTCCCGGACGGGCCGGCACCTGGCCACGTTTACCCGTGCGCCTGGCTCGAGTCTGTACACACTGACTACTGTGTCCCCTCAGGTCGTTGCGTCTGCGTCTGCGTCAGGTCAGCTAGCGGCCCCCTGCTCGTGTCGCGCTTTGTCGCACCAGACCCTCCTTTGGCACCACCGCCTTGGTCACCCCTCGGTGCAGCGCCTTCGTAGCATGCACCGCCGTGTTCTTGTCTCTGGTCTTCCCAGGGTTCTCCCTCCCCTCCCACCCTCGCCTGCTCCTCCCTGTCTTCCCTGTGTCGAGGGGCGGCAGCGCGCCGCTCCTCACTCCTCCTCGTTTCCCCCGACGACTGCTCCCCTGCAGACCCTGCACATGGACGTGTGGGGCCCAGCCCGCGTCAGTGGGCAGGACCGCGAGCGGTACTTCCTGCTGGTTGTTGACGACTACTCGCGTTACACCACGGTCTTCCCCTTGCGCACCAAGGGTGAGGTCCCTGATGTTTTGATCCCTTGGATCCGCGCTGCCCGTCTCCAGCTCCGCGAGCGGTTCGGGACGGAGTTTCCCGTCCTGCGTCTGCACTCTAACAAAGGTGGGGAGTTTTCCTCCGACCTTCTGCAAAGCTTTTGTCGTGGGGAGGGCATTCGCCAGACTTTCACGCTTCCGGCCTCTCCGCAGCAGAATGGGGTTGCTGAGCACCGCATTGGCTTGGTCATGGAGGTCGCTCGTACCTCCATGGTCCATGCGGCTGCCCCCCATTTTCTGTGGCCGTTTGCGGTCCGCTACGCCGCGCATCAGCTCAACCTCTGGCCCCGTGTCTCCTTGCCGGAGACCTCGCCCACACTGCGGTGGACGGGGGAGGTTGGCGATGCGTCGGTGTTCCGGGTCTGGGGTTCTCGTGCCTTTGTCCGCGATACCACCGCGGACAAGCTCTCCGCCCGCGCTGTTCCCTGTGTCTTCCTTGGCTTTGTCCCTAACGCGCCTGGTTGGCAGTTTTACCACCCCACCTCGCGCCGTGTCTTCCCCTCTCAGGACGTCACGTTCGACGAGTCGGTTCCCTTTTACCGTCTCTTCCCCTACCGCACTGCCCCTCTCCCCCCCCCGCCGCTCTTCCTCGCTCCAGGTGCTCCCCAGGTAGACCCCCTTCCCGCTCCCACTACTGCTCCTTCAGGTGTGTCTCAGGTAGACCCTCCTCCCTTGTCTGCGCCGGTTGAGATCACTGGTGACTCAGGTCCTGCTGGGGGTGGTCCTGCTCGGGGTGCTGCTTCTGGGGGTGCTGAGCCTGGGGGTGCAGAGCCTGGGGGTGCGGAGCCTGGAGGTGCTGAGCCTGGGCGTGAGGAGTCTGGGGGTGCTGAGCCTGGGGGTACTGAGTCTGGGGGTGCTGCACCTGGGGGCGCTGAGGCATCTGGTGAGCAGTCTCCCTGGAGCGGCCGTCTCCGTAGTCGCTCCGCTGGTGCCTCGCCGCTGCACTCTCGTCGTCGTCTCCCTCTCTCCCCACAGCAGCTGCGTGAGTGGTACGTTAGCCGTCAGGGTCGAGCTGCTGGAGCTAGGGGCCCTGCTGCGGGAGGTGCTGGTGTTAGAGGCACTGGAGCCGGCGCTGTCCCTCTCTCCCCACAGCAGCTGCGTGAGTGGTACGTTAGCCGTCAGGGTCGCGCTGCTAGAGCTAGGGGCCCTGCTGCTGGAGGCGCTGGAGCTGGTGACTCTGCTACTGGTGTTGTTTCTACTGGAGTTCCTGGAGCAGCTGGTCCAGGAGGTGCTCGTACTGGAGGTACTGGAGCTGCTGGGACTGGAGGTCCTTCTGGACCTGGAGGTGCTGCTGTCGACTCTGAGGTTGGGGGCCCTGGAGCCGGAGGTGCCGGCTCTGGGGGTGCTACTGCTGGTGGCGCTGGAGCTGGAGGTTCTGGAGCTGCTGCGGGTGCTGGCGCTGGAGGTTCTGGAGCTGTTGGAGGTGCTGACGCTGGTGGCGCTGGAGCTGGAGGTTCTGGAGCTGCTGCGGGTGTTGGCGCTGGAGGTTCTGGAGCTGCAGGAGGTGCTGGAGCTACTGGTGCTTGTGTCACTGCACCGCCGCGACAGTTCTTCGCTCCGCCGTCACCTTCGTCTCTGCCACCGCCTGGCTCCGTGCTTCGCCAAGTTCTTAGCCTCCCGTCTTCTACTGGTCTTCCGTTACAGCCTGGCTCACCACTGCCTGCTCCTTCTCCTTACACTGAGCTGGCAGGCGGTCTTGCTGAGCGTCGTGAGCATGCGTCTCGTCCTGTCTCGCCTATTCGCACTGTCCACACTGGTCGTACTGGTCGTCGTGTTCCTCGTGAGCGTTCGCCGGCTGTCCCCGGCACACACCTCATGGCCCTGCGTCCTTCCTCTGCTCCGCAGCGTGTTCCCCTGCCGTCCCCTCCTGCGTCTTCTCTGCCTGACGTTCCAGAGCCTGAGTCTGACCGCGCTCGTGCTGCTCACCCTACTGTCACGCGTCTGCTAGCCACAGTTGTCACAGACCCGTCGTTTGAGTCTGCTGCTGCGTCTGCCTTAGT